AAGAATGTTCACATTAGCTACAGTCGAAGTTAATTATGATTTTGATAGATGGGTATAAATAACAGGTTTCTGCAACCTCCTTTTTCCCTTTTATCGTCTTAAATAACGTAGTCAACAAAATAAGTTGGGAGTTTGTTTTACCTAATAACACAAATTATCTTACAATAACATTATTTATTTTAGATCTAGTGATGAAACTATGTTTTACAATTAGTTTATCAAAATTTAACGTGGTAGAGCTATTCTAAAATGTATTATTTTATTTTTGTTTATTTTATTTTTTATAGAAAGTTTTGCCTCTTTGATCTCAGATATAAATCATTCATTGACCAATTATGCAACCAAAGTTTGTGCATTTATTGATATACAAAGTACATTTGATAATTTAGATCCTTCCTATATTGGCAAATATTCTACGTAAGATTGGTATTCCTGGAAAAATATGTAAATGCTTCAGCTCTATTAATAGTATAGTTGTAGCACGAATGGTTTGACTCGACTAGGGAATGACCACGCTCTCACAGAATACCACCGTAAAATAACACCTCAATGTGTTTCGTATGGTAAGTGTAGTGAACCGGAGACTCTTTTCACTGGAAACGAGGCATTGTATCTTAGTTCTCACGGGTGACAACGCATCTGCATTTTGATTCGTAATCGAGGATAGATGTAGATGTCTATGGGCCGCAGCAACCAATTACCATGAGGTGGACTGTGTGCTCGTTTGTCACCCTGATCCTGTAAAAAAATATCAGTTATACTAGTTTTCCGTTTATATTAATCGTAATGATGTATTAATAACACTTTCTGCTTAGTAGTGGACAAAATAAGCTCCACTCACAAGAAAGTTTAAAAACAGAACGAGATGGAGTTATAGATATATACAAAAATAGCGTAACAGCGCTTAATAAAAACTTTTATTAATTATTTCAATGTGAAGGTAATAAAACCAGTTTTATAAGTAAACCAGCGGCTATTATCTACGATGATCCAACACAAGATAAAAATCTTACCTTTTAAGCAGACTTACGCTTTCTTATCGATTGTTTAAACTCAGATTTACTTTGAATATACTATCGCAAGGACTAACTCAAGAAACTTATTGCTCCAGATTAAGACCATAAAAGTCTAATAGTGAAGTCATAAATTGTGTTAAAGATTTAGTTCATTGTTATTATTTTTCTTAACATAAGTAGTTATAATAATCAACACATATCCATTTAAACTCATGTGGTGACATTGTATGAAATTATTTTAAGATGATTTCGAAAACGCTTTCCCTTTCGTTATCAATTACGTATTAGAACAAAATCTAATCTTTAAAGTTAAAGACTATGTACGTCCCACTGCTGGGCACAGGACTCCTCTCATTTCTGAGAGGGTTTTAGGGCAAGAAAATGTCCGCCGCGCTGTCCCAATGCGTGTTGACGAACTTCACATGATTTGAAGTATTTTTTTCTTGTTTCATAAACATGCAGGTTCCCTCACGATATTTTCCTTTACCGCCGAGCACGTGGTAAATTAGCACTTAAGATTGCAATTAAGAGGATACCTTGAAAATGAATCGTAATTTTGGGGGCGTGGCTTATTCCTTTGTCGGTGAAGCTCACGGACGACTGAGGGAGTGTCAAAATGAAAGTGATGCAATGACTTCATAATACACAAATTATGAGATAGCTATACCGGGCACACGCTCGGAAATAAAAACTAAGTAAGCGCCAAACAACATTTTTAATTTTTTGTAACAAAACTACGTTATGGATTAAAAAAATGGTTTATGAGAACTTAGATATGATTGATTATTTACTATACCTTAAAAATAATTCCGTGAACTTATTCTTAAAATTATTGTGGTTTCATGCAAAAATGTAACTAATTAGAGCCTACTTTGAAATTTTTTTCTATCGAGAAAATTTCATGATATCGTCTTTTCCTTTTATGCAATCCAAGTTCATATAGTCAAAAACCATATACCAAAATTTTGGTTTGTAGTCTATAAAACTTTAAAAAATATGTGAAATAGAAAAACTACCAAATTTTCAAAGTATCACCTTAAGAATTATTTCAATGGTCCCGGTGGGGATCGAACCCGGATTGCTCGCATACTGTGAAATTTACAGCGAGCTCTAACCATCTGAGCTAACGCGGCTCTTTCTAGTCTTTACCATCGTAATTGCACATTGAGACTGAACATAACTACATAAAATCGTAATGATAATGACGTTTTCTGTGACTATGTGGCAGGGTGCCACTTACAAGAGACATATTTTGAGGCTAGAAAAGACCGGACCTAGTCTTAAAAAAGGACATGGTAGTGATAGATTGCCTTTGAAATTGACTCCTACTTTCACGAACGTGACCTTGAAAACAACTAAATTTTTTCAGACACAACGAGTAGAAATTTCATCAGACTTCAACATTATTTAATCTAACTACATCTATTCTCGATTAAGGACCATAATTCCGATTCGTTGTCACCTCTAAGGGCTGAAATGGCCGTTCTAGTCACTCACCATACGAAAAACAGCAATATAATGCTGCTCTTTTCTGCTTGTATTCGGAACAAGGGTGGTCCTTCTCCCGTCAAGTTGTGCCATAGCCATAATATGCTACAGTGTAACTCTTACACATAAAATTTGTATGATGTACTGCTGCTATATTTGGGTATATGCTGCTGACTACCAACTGGCGACTGTCTTGGGCTCATCTTCTTTTTGACGTGGAAGGACGTGTCATGAGACTAACAGCTTTATTTTCTGAGACTAAGCTGCATAATATGAGTCTTCATCCATTTGTTGTCCATATTCCACGCTTTGCGCCCTCCTTTCTGCCAAGGAGGGTCGCGTCCGTATACGGCTTAGAGATCTCTAGTTAGACCGTTAAGCCAGTCCCTAAAAGGTGGGATTTAGTGGGTAAAAGTCTCCACATAACCACGCAGCCGGCTGCGTGGTACGCTATGAGCATTCCCCACCTCCCTCCCCCGCTTTTCGGAGGGTTGGCCATATTTGCTTCTGGCGACAAAAAAAATATTCCACGCATTCGAAAAAAACAATTTGCTTCGTCTTTCAGGATGTGTACAGCAAACAAGTGGAAGGGTGAGAAACGAGTACACAGTCTACTTGATGGTAAGTGGTTGCTGTGGCCCATAGACATCTACATCTATCCTCGATTACGAATCAAAATGCAAATGCGTTGTTACTCGTCAGGACTAAGATGGAATGCCTCGTTTCACTTAAAAAGGGTCTACGGTTCTCTACACTCACCATACAAAACACAGCAGAGTTAAGATACAATTTCGCGCTAGTATTCTACGTGAGCGTAGTTCTTCCCCGGTAGAGCCAAACCATTCGTGCTACAACTATACTACTAATATAGCTGCACCATGGCCCTACCACGTCTTGCAATATGGGTGTCTTCAAGGCAAAAGTGAATAGACTTTTGTTACGCTAAGGCAGTACGATTTACCATCGAAGGCTGCATCACCACTTACCACCAGTTGAAGTTGTGATCAGCAGTGGCTTAAGATAAGTAAAAAAATGTTCGAAAACAGACGCAGAGTTCAGTGTTCTAAAAGTTACAATTCGTAAAGTGTGCCCAAGAGTTGCACTCTATGGTTCCTTCATCCCCGACATTGAAAAACCCCATGGTTTGATTTTCTTTTTATATTATACACGTGCTTTTATCGCATACAAACCGTTCATTATTTAAAATACGCACAAGGAGGAACTTTTTACTCGGGTTAAACTTTTCTAATTACTACGATTTGAATAGGTAGCACGAATGGGTCGGCTCGATCGGGTAACGACCACGCTCTCACAAGAATATCAGAGTAGATGCTGCTGTGTCTCGTATGGTGAATTCAGAGAACCGAAGAACCGTTTTACTGGATACGAGGGATTCCATTTTAGTCCTAACAACGCATCTGTATTTTTATTAAAGTTGGTAAAAGTTACTTTTCTTATGTCCGTGCATTTCTATTCTGAAATAAGAATGGATGTAGATGTTTTTGAGCCACAGCATCCACTTACCATCAGGTGGACTGTGTGCTCGTTTGTTACCCTTATTCTATAACAAAGTGTAGTTTTGATAGGCTGTAATGATGTTTAATTAATCAATGAATAAAATCCTTCATAGGCCAATAAAACTACTCACGATATTTTCAATCACTCTTGGGAGTAGCTGCCAATACCCTGAAACTAATTCATATACTAGAAAGTGAAAGTTGTCATACGAAACAGAAAGAATGTGAAATAATGGAGTAAGGTAATTAAGAGTAGCATGAAGGTGAACAAAAATCTGTACGAATTTTTCACGTGCGAAGTGGTGAAGAAGAATATAACATATTGATAATTGTAACTTAGTGGCTTCAACGGGGAAAGACCACGCTCTCTCAGAACACCAGCGTAAAGTAGCAGCTTAATGTTGCTGCGTTTTGTATGGCGAATGTAGAGAATTGGAAACCCTTTTTACTGATAACTTGGCATTTCATCTCCTCATCATCATCCTCAGGGGTGACAACGCATCTACATTTTGATTTTTAATCGACGATAGACTGATGTCTATAATAATTAAATAAATCGTAGGAGGCCATTCAGTCTTCAACAAATTTGATATTTTTTCAATTCCAGATTATGCTAATTTGAAATTTTGTAAAAGCATGTTCCACTTTCATTTCAAACACGAAAAACTATCATCAACGCGTCACGTTGGTTTTCAACAAGCTTCTCTTCAATTTGCAATTCAATTGACAACGTTAATTACGAATTCCGTTGTGTCGTATCAGTATCCAGTTTTTTTTTTACTTGTTTTACGCTTTCAGGTTTCCAATGCGCACCTACTAGTATCGCCATAAACATATTTTTTATAATACATTGTTTATGTCGATACAAAGACAGGAAAGATCACATCACATCACATCACATTTTTATGATACTATAAATAAAAGGAATGCTGAAATTTAGTAACCATTAGCCATATTTATACTTTAACAACTTATTTACCTTTGGGGGTGGCGATACCGGCTCTTGTACGTCTGAATCCCATTCCGAGCTGAGATCATCACTAGAAGCCTCGGTGAAGTCCTCATTCCACGGGAATTCCGACAGCGAATTCTTCATTTGATCGTACCCGGGTGACATAGTCGGTGGTCCATACCCAGGCGGTAATGGACTTGATGCCCTACAATCTTCACAATTACATGGTTTCGGACCGAATGTCTCTTTAACGGGTAAATCAGCTTTGATGTCTGATTTAGAGCTCCTTCTCGAATCACGTTTTCTTGCACTTCTTGGAGACAGTCTGTTATTGCACTGCGGAGGAATGTAATGTCTGGTCGGTTCAGAGAGCCGTCTACCACTATCGGGCGTCTCGATCTTCACAGGTGGCAATAGGGACATCTTTTTTGTCATGGGCTGCTGCCTTTCGCTCGTTAATCGGTCCTCAGTATCCATGGTATACCTTATGATAGGTATAGAGAAGGGCAACGTTTCAGTACACTCTGGCATTTTGTTTGATCACTTAACACAGAATAGTCTCCCGCCTGTCTTCGGGAGAAGAGTTAACGACATTTTAGAATTGTCACTAATTAATTCAAGCACGTTACACGCGCGCTGTTTTCGTGTGGCGAAGCGACGCGGGCGCAGCGTTTGCCTGTTGTGTGAAGACTGCTGTGGTCTGCTGCTATCAAGTGCCAGCTGCCAGCGTGTTGGTCATTCTTTTCACTGGTTGTACACACACACTAAAATAACTTAAGCAATTAAGATATATGTACGTTGATAGCGCGTGTTTGCTTAGGAATCGCAAATTTTTCTCTTTGCTTAGCCAGCGAGGTTGCGTTCTTCAAGTACGAAGTTAATTGGTAATGTTTTATTACAGTACATGTCTGATGACGTCGCATGTTTTATCTTTTATTTTTCTTTTGATTCCTTGGAATATACTACAAACTGTATTTTTCTTATTCTCGGTACTCCTATGACGAACATACTTTTGTGTAGTTTAGTATAAACTCATTCATAATTTTCTATTTTAACATTGGTTACAAAAATGTGGACAGATTTTATTGCCTATGTCCTTAATATTAATGTGATTTGAATCTTGCAATATTTAATGCACTTTTAAACCTTCACATTTTTACACAAATATCTTACGTATTGATATCATATTCATAATCATATTATACAACCATTAGGTACATTACAACTCATCAAAAATCTATTCATTATCTCCCAAAGAATACTACTGCGCTAAATAAAAAAACTATATAAATATAGTATGATACTACTATTCGGCAGATGTTTGCCGTAGACGGATGACACACTTGGTAGGTGGGTTGTCATTTTATATAAAAATAAGCAAGTATTAATAATTTTTATTTAAAACTTGATAATAAATAAATATTAGTTTAGTATTAAGTAAACTTAATACTAAACTATTATTTATTAACTTAATAATATTATAAGTAAGTAAAACTTATTAATATTATAAACCTTACGCTCCTAATGATTTCCATCAATCAACGTGATAGAGTCACGCTACAGCTGTAGTAAAACTTTTTTATATATAATTAAGCCTACATTTCAATATAATCCCATTGTGGTGATGAAACCTTAGATGATATATCGCACTAATTTAGCACAACAAATACCTTTTCACTGTACATTGCAATCGGATGAAAGATAAACGAAAATTATTCGACTTATTTGCTTTACCTAAAGCGAAGCCGTAATAGCTGCGTAGGAACATTCACTACTCCATAATATCATCCCGTGGGATGTTGCTGCGCAAGGCAGTGTTTTCCTAATAAGTAAAAAATAAACTTCTGTTTCCATCCCGCTGGCCAAGCAAAATTATGGCTTATATCCCTATGTTCAGCTGTGAACTTTTGATAGTCTATAACGGTAAGAAAAAACAGTTCGTTTAATCCGAATGCGTATAATTTCAAAAACAGACAGTGTGGAGATTCACCAAACGTCGGGTTGTACAATGGTGGATAGAAAAACGCGAGAAATTTATTAAAGTAACTCTTGGGCACGTTGTCCGGAATACACTGCTTTGGTCGGGATAGAGCCACATCTTAAAGTAATATATATAGGTTTAAAATAGCACGTACCATAATACTGTTGAGTTTCGTGGGGTGTTTCGGTAGTTCGAGTATCGGAGACACTTAACTCACAACTATTTGTAATCTATTTTTCTAAAGTATGTATAATTCTTTCGAAATTTTAAATACTCTTAAAAATCGTACGTGTAATTTAAACACAAACTTCGCAAATTTTTTTTGTAAATCAAGAGTTCATAAAATATTGAATGTATCATAATTGAAAAATAAAGATAGATAGACATTTCATCTATTGACTTAATGTATATTTAATGATTAAAGATTAACTTTAATATTTTATATTACTTTTATGCGCGAGATGCTGGCGCCATAAGAAAATCCACCACTCCATTTCGTCCCGTGAATATCATAAGTGGTGACTTGGGGAAAAGCCGGAATACAGTAGGCTTTAAAAAGATGACGATATTCCATTTAATCCAGATATAAAGTACTCAGATCGGCTACTCGTAGCAATGTCAAAGGTGCAAGACGTCTTGTATGGCGACCTCCAATCCTCTAGGAAAGACCAATGTCCAGCAGTGGATTTTAACGAGCAAATAAAGAAGTTATTATTCATTTTATAAGTGGTAAAGCAACTGCAGTTATATTAGTAGTATAGTTGTAGCAGCAATGGGTTGGCTCAACCGGAGAAGGACCACGCTCTCACAGAATATCAGCGTAAAATAGCAGCATAATGCTGCTGTGTTTCATATGGTGAGTGTAGAGAACCGGGGACTCTTTTTACTGGAAACGAGGCATTCCATCTTAATCCTCATCGATGTCTGTGGGTCGCAGCAACACTTACCGTCAGGTGGACTGTGTGCCTGTTTGTCAGTCTATCCTATTAAAAAAAATTGACCCACAAATTGTCTGCAAGACTTAAATAAGTTCTTATTTCATAAGCGATCAAACAAAGAACTTGTAAACACGTAATTATGAAACCTTCGTTAATACAAATGATTAGCACTTATCGTAAGTTCATAACAGTAATTAACAGTTCATTCAAAAATAGCTTCCACTATGTGACGCAAGTGTCACGTTTCTTATTATAATAATCTTTAGGTTAAATTCACGACTTCGCGAATTTGTAAAAATTTTTGAGGGTTATAGAGGCGTAGGCTGTTTATTATATTATCAAGTGCTGTTTATTTTCATATCAAGTTTATCTTCAGTTTATGACATCTAAATGAACTTATTTTTTTCTCCCAGTTCAGAAATAAGGTCTATATCCCTCTGAAAGAATCCTTGGAGAATAGAAGAGTTCTTCACGCCGCCCTAACTGCGTGTTAGCGAATATACATCTTCGAAACATTTTTTATTTTTTAATAATTCAAATCTAACTTAACGACTTTTGCTGAACATATTAAAACTCAGGTCATAAAATTATAATAAATAAATTTAAATGAAACTCAGGAATTTGGAACTAAAGTTGCCCACGTTATAAAAAATTAGAGCAAGCGGATATCCTCCGAGTACCGCGGCTCCTCAGTTCAATAATAAGTTCTTTAAAATCATCACCCCTCGTTCCAATATCATTTGGGTCACGTGACATTTTATTGGCATATTTTGTCAATAAAATGTAGCATAAATGTTGTTAACATGGTAACGATAATAGACAGAACGAAATGTGTACAGATAGAAATATGTAAAGCAGAAAAAAAATTTGAGATCACCACACAACATACATACATCTCCTGTTTGGGCAAAACTACGTAGGAAAAAGCCATCCTGCGATTTTTAGAAGAGCCGATGCCGCATAGAGAAGCCGATACATGTGCAGGCTGGAGTCACATATGTCAAAGAATTTTAAAATCCTACGTTCTCCGAGTTGCTGCGAAACACAAAAAGACATTCCTCTCTCCCAAAACACATAGTACGAGTATCACCGACGCAGGAACGCGCCAAAGGAGAAAACTTCCTCAATAGTCTTAAGTCATTTTTTATATATTTCTAAATTAGGGTATATATGTCTCTATGGGCAAACATTTCTAATTTTTAAGTATGCACCGACTTTTAATTGAATATTTGAAATAAATATATTATCAATCCTTTACGGAATTTACGCGGCGGCGCTACGAAATAGTTAAACTATTAGTTAATCTGTGGCAAAAAAGGCACAAAAATTCCCATTTATATTAAGAAGGAGGAAAAATTTACCGTAATCGTCACGAGTGGAAAAACGAGATCTTGTGGTTGTGACTATTATGGGTATGTTCTATCGTATAGGTTTTTTTTTTTTGGGAAACACCTATGATATTATTTCAACGAGATGCTGCAGAGCGTTGATTAAGTAACCGACATCTCTCAAGAAGAACTTGTTTATATTTATCCGTGAACAAGTGCGTTTTTCATGTTTGTTAGTTTCAAGTTAATATTATGTTTATATAGTACCAATTGAAGGTCATACACTAATTTGCAAAATAAAAAACGGGCGTTTTGATTTTTTTCTGCCTGAATATATACAATACGAAAATGTGCTTAATTATTTTTGAACATGTTATTGACTGGTTATAAAAGTGCCGTATTGTTTAAAAATATCCGCAATGATCGCCCAGCCTGCGGCCCTAAATTACTCCGTGAGCACTGAGTTGCTAGGCTTATGTTCACTCGAAATTGTGTATCATGGACTCAAGAAGACTGGAATATGGTATCGTTTTCCGACGAAGCCAGGATATCTCTGTACGGTGAAGACCGACGTCGACGAGTTCTACGAAGACGAGGAGAATGCTTTGCTTGTTTCCTGGCAGAACCCTGTTATGTTTTGGAAGGAATAAATTCGTTGGATCGTACTGTGTTAGCCTTCATCAAAAACGGTACACTGACTGGACACCGATACATAATGGAAATTCTAATTCCTCATGCGCAAACAGCATTGACCGATCTTGGCTAAAAGTCATTTTTTACGAACGACAACGCTCGTGCACGCTGTCGGTGTAGAAGCGTTTATGCTAGAGGTCTTAATGTGTCGACTTAAATCCCATAGAGCATGTCGTGAGAAGCAATAAGTAAGATCAGTGCAGCCGGCTCCGCAGACCATCAGAGAGCTGAAGAATTTGATTATCGAGGAGTGGGAACGTATTTCGCAAGAAACCATAAGAGATATACTCGCTAGCATGCCCATACGAATGCCAGTTTTAATTTCAGCAAGATGGATCACATTCTATACTAAACTTGTATCTGCTTTTACTTTTTTAAAGAATAACAAACGAGAAACGTGTTTCATTTTTACTTAGCGAACAGGTACACTACTAGCGATTTGAACTTATTACATACTTATTACATTATTTTTTCATTAAATTAAACAAAATGTTATGATAAAACTGACGAAAATTGTTCATTTTTATAAAAAAATAATAAGTTACGTAAGTTACTAATTTGTTACCAAATATTGTTAATACAATATATTGT